ACTTCGGTGCAGTAAGGAGCACGCCTCTGGCACATCTCTATCCCGCAGAGACACACAGACGCACCACGGCTGACCTTGGTCTGCCTGTGAGGGCCACCGCCAGTCCCGGCCTGTCTGTAAGAACCAATCTGAGAGACCCTCCGGCTGGCCTGGTCGGTCCTCTAGACCCGCCGCTCCTCGCCCCCGTCTGTTTGCAAGGTCCGTTCCTTTGGCCCGGACCGTCTGCCCCTCCCGTCGCTCCACCCAAACTGCGCTCCGGGCTCGGTGACAGACAGCGGCGCTCGGAGACGCCCGTAAATCCGACCGGCCGGCGCCGTAAAGCTCTCAGAGGACGGCCGTATAACGCCCCTGACAGTCGCCCTTCCCGGCCTGTTTAGGGTCTCGTGGGGTCAACCGACGGCTCAGAACGGCCGAGCTGAGCCGCCCAGGATAGAGTCGCCCAGCACGGTCAGCAAGTTTGTCCAAAAGCTAGACTTACCTGCTGTGCTACCTACGAGTACGGCCTGTATAGCGTTCTGAGTTGCACCTTCGACGGCCGACGCAAATATTTAGACTGTGGACGGGGACAAGCCCAGCAATAACTAAACACCTTATTTTAGGTGTAAAACGCATTGGTATGCAGATGAAATGATTTTGGAGACATTGTTCAAAATCATTGAATTAACTATTCAAAGTAGCTTCTTGGCTCAGTTTGTTCTATTCAGATTAGCAATGCATCCACCATCCTACCCCACTTGCCCTTTGGGGTCATTTAGAAACAACGAACGAATCAAATAAAGAATTACCATCACTGATGGAACAGGCCGCTGAATTTGAGCCTCAAAATATTGTGACCGAAAAGCCTGATCTGGGCTAAAGTTTTGTGGATCTGGGCCCGAATGAGTAACGGACTAACTCAATACATCCGTGGATCAGTCCGGGTCTCAGTCTGCCCTCAATCCGTTTTCAATCGGCACTCAATCCTTAGCTAGGTTAATGACTGTTCTAGATCTATCCGTCATCAAATGATCCCGGGACAGGCTATTGACTGCCATAAAACATTTTAAGTTTTAGTTCGTCCTCAATTTCAGGTCAGGTTCATGACTGCCTGTATCAATCTGGCCCCCGCAACCGCCCTGCATCCCAGGACAGGCTCATGGCAGTCCCGAGTCACTCCGAACCTCCATTCTCCTTCAGTCTGCCGTCAATCCGCCCTCAAGCAGCCGCCAATCCGCCGCCAATCCGCCGCCAATCCGCCGTCAATCCGCCGCCAATCCACCCTCAGTCCACCCTCCATCCCGGCGGCGTCAGGTCAGGGTACGACGGCTCTGACGGGGGCAGCATTCGCCGGCCTCCCTCCTCTAATTGCGTCAGACCAGTATCGACCGCACAACGGGAGCTAAGGTGACGAGAGAGGGCGACGACGACCGACCGCCGGTCGACAGAAATGAATGGGATCCGAGCAGGGCGACAGAAAATGGGAGCAGGTGACGGGCGGTGCAGCCAGAGAAGACGGGCAGCGGCCAGAGGTGACGGTCAGAGGTGAGATAGTTCATGCGTGAGGTGAAAGAAAATGGACCGAGGTAGCTGAATCTAGTTTGCAGAGATTAAAAGAGAACGATTGAGGTGAGAGAAAATGTAACGAGATGACAGAGGATTGGCTGCTAGTAAAGATGACAAGTGATGGAAAACGGACACGGATGACGGGGAATGAGGAGTTAGGAGAAATGAGATGAAAATGCTGAGCATAAAAATGCAGTCCGCGAAATATTGACATATTGACGTTGGGTAGTGGGGGGGTGGGGACGAGTAATTATAAACGTACGTGCGAAATTTATAGTACGAGCGAAATTGACATCAACGATCATGAACTAAACCAAAAGACGCATAATAATGCAAAAAGACATGCGTGGAAAAAAGTGCGAGTTTGAGTTCCATGTCCATTTTCCAGTATGATGTGATCTCTTCTGAGACCCGTCAATAGCCCGCACACAACACGTTTTCCTCCCCGCATGTCTATGGAACTGGAGACGAATATTGGATTGGAGTCGACCCGACAGTGCGCGGCTGTTTTTCGTGCCTACCGGCGTGCAGGGCCTGCTGTGCGTGAGAGGCGGTGATAGGTCAGTCGATGTCCTTAATCACCAGCGGGGTGCGTGCCGGCGGAAGACCGTTCGTGCTCCACTGGACAGCCGGTAACGTGCCTCTGGACCAAGGGCGGATCTAGGGGGTCGTTTTGGGGGGGGTCACCAGTCGGCCGACATCCCAGGTCTGGTGAATGAATTCTGACGACCGGGGGGGGGGGGGGGTAGGGAGCGAGTATGTCGAGATCAAAAAATGACATTTGATCTTCGTCGTTTATAAGATGAAGTTTTATCGTAAGTCACTCGGCTCAGTAGTTTTAGTTAGTGAAACCCACCTATATAGGAGCGTCGCCACGGATTTTTTACTGGGGGGGGGGGGGGGAGGCGGGTCGACCGACTTAAAAACCCAGAAGTAGATATAGTTACCTCACTTTTAGCCTAATGCATTAGTAAATAGTAGCATACAGTCACGATCTCTCTTATTGACCTGTGTATGAATCGGCGGCGCGAAGCGCCGCAAAAATTTGCAAAAAAAAGTTGTCAAAACACAGCTCTAAAACACAAATATTACAACCTTTTTAGCATGCTAGTACAAGCCGGAGTTCCTTCACAGTACACATATGAATTCCGATTCAATTTGACACGGTTGGTGTTATTACAGTCACTGTTATTTCTCTCTTATTGATTGGTGTATAAATCGGCGGCGCGAAGCGCCGAGAAAATTTGCAAAAGAATGTGTCGAAACACAGCTCCAAAACACAAATTTTACCACCCTTTTAGCATTGCAGTACAAGCCGGAGTTCCTTTACAGCACACATATGAACTCTGATTCAATTTGACACGGTTGGTTTATGTAATTACAGTCAAGATTTCGTATTGACCTGTACGTATGTACATAAATCGGCGGCGCGAAGCGCCGCGAAAAATTTGCAAAAACATTTGTCAAAACACAGAGGGGGCCTCCTCTCTACAGAGGACCACCGATCTCTACTGCGGGCCTCCTCTTTTCACAGGGCCTCTTAACTACAGAAGCTACAGGGCCTCCTCTCTACAGAGGGCTTCCTCTCTACTGAGGGTCTCTCCCTTTAAGAGGGCCTCCTTTACAGAGGGCCTCCTCTCTTCAAAGAGCCAGAGGACCTCATCTCTGCAAAGGGCCTCCTCTCTTCAGAGGGCCTCTTCTCTACAGAGGGCCTCCTTTCTTCAGAGGGCCTCTTCTCTACAGCGGGTCTCCACTCTTCAGAGGGCCTTCTGCATTCAGGCGGTCTCCTTTCCACAGAGGGCCTCCTCTCTACACAGGGCCTCCTCTCTACATAGAGCCTTCTCTCTACAGCAGGTCTCCTCTCTACAGAGGGCCTCCTCTTTAAAGGGGTCTCCTCTCTACAGGGGGCCTCCTCTCTACTGAGGGCCTCCTTTCTACAGAGGACCTCCTCTACAGAGGGCCTCCTACCTACTGAGGAGTCAGAGGGGCCCTAGCGGTCAGACACAGACACTAGCGGTTATTCACTGGAGGCCCCAGGAAGTAAGAAGGGCCCTAGCTGTCAGGCTGGTCAGAGGGCCCTGAATGTCCTGACGTGATTTTTGGGATTCCCGTGAATTTCTTTCGCCTCAGACGTGATTTTGACCTGCCAGGGCCCAGGGGCACTAAAAATAAAACAAACAAAATAAAAAATGAAAATAGGACATCACCAAAATTAAGTGACCGAAATCCGTTGAGTTTTTAATTTTGCGTATAGGTAGGGGCACCACGAATTAAATTCATGACCATCCCCTTGGAGTTTTCCTGGATCATCCCCTGGTGCTCGCACGGTTGAGACAAAAACGAGTAAGATTCTGGTCTTCAATACGCCTTTTCACGCAACACGATCCAGAAAAACAAAGGTATTAGCTCAGAAGTGTTTGACAGGTGATTTTGAGCATGCAAGACGGCGTCTATAGCGCATTTAGGTCTTCGGCTTTTGGGGGGGGTCAAATGACCCTCTCAGACCTTTTGGGGGGGGTCATGACCCCGTGGACCCCCCCCAGGATCCGCCAGTGCTCTGGACAGCCGTTAACGCGCCTCTGGACAGCCGTTAAGGTGTATATGGACGGTCGTATATGGATATGGATGAGAGGTAACGCGTGAGATGTGCATGGTAAAGGTTACAGATCGTTGAGCAGTCGTTGACGCGCATCTAGAGGACGTCAGCGTGTTTCTGGAAGCTTGTTAACGTTCATATGGAAGTTCGTTGACGTACATTTGGACACTGATGACCTTTAATGCGCAATGCGCATTTGAACCAATGTTGACGGTTAACAACCTCTGCCGCGCCTATACATAGATAGATATCCGTCACGTGGCTTTTACCGGCTTTTAGAACGATTATGAACGGACATAGGTGAACCTTTTGTCAGCCATCAGATGTCCTTTATGCAGCCATCAGTGCACCATGAGCGTCTAATACAGCTTTGTGCGACAATATCACTCCTGCATTTTGCCCTCATGTGGTCTGTAAGTAGAATTGTTTGCAGCCATGCATTAAAGTTCCGCACTAGTCGGTGTATCGATCCCAGGACAATGTACTCCGGCAAAGAAGTGCATTATTTAGGAGGCATCAGCGTTAAGTCTTATACAAAATTCATACGGCACGTAGGGTGCTTCAGGTAAGCCACTGCATTGCAAAATATCGTTTAATATCAGAATAGATTCTCGCTCATGCAAAACAGGCCCAAACTGCTGTTCAACAATGGAACTTCTTGGATCAACTCACATAGTACAGACACGGTAGATAAACACGCCGAAAGTACGACAATAGTTTTCTGAAACTATTTTCGCTCAATGTCTTGGGGGTCTCAGATTTCCTGGAAGTACAAAGTTTGCTTTCTTACCAAGAAGGAAGGATCCCCGAGGCTAGTTAACATAACCGAACGCGCTATAAATGGAATGTTGGCTGGACTGACCTTGGAAAGAGAAGACTAGGTTGATGATAAACGGATGGTCCAGTGAGGAGAGAATCTGCACCTCGCGGATCACGTTGGCAATCGCCTCCTTCTCCAGACTCTGTCGCTTGTTGGTGTACTTCATGGCGTACATCTGGCTGTTGCTCTTCCGCCGCACGATGCATACCTGGAGGCAGTTAGATGCGTTTTACTGCACTGATTTACTGCATTGTGCACTTTACTACACTGATGTCAGAGTCTCAGCGACGCCATTCGTACATTCATATACCAGAATCTCCATATTGCTTGTCATCAGTGAAGATGCAAAACATTTGCGGTGAATAAATAAAATTGATTGTTCCCTGGAATGGAAAGTAAAACTTGCCAACAAAAATGATTATTACCTATTGAGAATCAATTGGTTAGCAGCAGCGGTGGCAGAAACTAGCAAAACAGCACTGTTTCGCTTTCTTTTTCTCACTCGGGAGTTGTACAAGACGGATCGACTCGATCTGTATCCCCTTGTAGGCAATAACGAAAACAGTTTGAAACGTTCGAACTGGACAGATGTTTTAGTGTTTCCTACTAACATAATTCGCTTAAGTACCGACGTGCGCGTGCTTATACACCGATTGCCAGCCCATTTACATTATGAGGGCCTAATAAAGGTGTGCAGGTGATTGCAATCGCCTGCAAACCATTAATCAGCCGTTCATTCGCGCTGCACGCAACAGGCCGCCGACCCTAGGTCGTGACACACTGTGTCCCGTGCAAATTGACCCATCAATAAAGCGGGTGACGGTATACTCGCGGAATTGGACAACATATGATCGATCCACGCTGATTCGAGTAGGAGTACTGCACCATTTGTGTCCGTTGGAGGCATTGATGTGTCGATGGCATCCGCTTTCATGAACTGCCAAAAAGGCATGCTTTGAATAAGTTTTTGTATCTGTTTTATGCGCTGTTTTACCGCATAATTGTAAAATACATCATGTACTTATGTTCGTGTGCCACAATTAACAGCCATTATCGCTGGGATCGACCTCAAGTAGATGCATATACATCTAGCTCTCACATCGACACGAGCACGGCCTACTCAGTGCTGGCCACAAACGATATTGGCACAGTGTATGTTGGCAGGGCAAACACCCTGATTGCGGCGCCCTCATGACGTTGTGATGCCGCTTATATGGATCTACGATCGATCGCCCTGGCCGATGGATGGATGGTATATAGTTATCGTGAGCTGCTCCGGACGTCCTTACGGGCACACGAGTCTCGTGAGTGGGTATCATGCCATTGGGTACACACGTGAGCCGCTCCGGAGATAGGGGAATAATGGGGACATTAACGGCGCCGAGTCGGCACGAAGAGGATGTCACAGCTCAAACTTGCTGAATGCTGTGGTAAAGGAAATTGTCTCTGATATAAGCAATATCATTTTGACAAGCTCATTCAAAAATGATCCTAATAATAACGTAATGGTATTCTAGGATGGCAAGATTGAAAAGTGAAAATGTCAGTGTGTATGCAACAAATGTCCTAAACTTTATATTCAGGAGAATATTGCTGTTTATGTGTGTTCACTGAGGAAAGTCTCTCCTTAGATTGTGTTACTGAAACGTAACGTCAGTACCACGTCATTCGTCAGATGTGCTAGTGAACTGATGATAATATTGTAATTTCCCATCACGATGTGCAGCATATTCATTTCGTATTTCCCACGAGTTGAGCCGGCTGGGGCCCGGGCCCGGTCGCGGGACCTCCTTTCAGGAGCTGTGCTGTCATTAAGCGGCAGCACGCGCGCTGACTCTTGTTAGTGAGCCCGGAGTTCGACCGAGTGGATTCTGCCACTCGAGCGGTCAGGCCAGAGAGCGGGCAGGGCTCGGCTTGGCGTCACAGGAAATGACAGCACCCTCTGCTGCCTCTGACGGCACAGTCACTAACAAGGCCGACTTCAAAGGACCACCGTGAGCGTCACAGAGAGAACAAAGCACAAGTTATGTCATTGTTATTGGCAAGGTGAGCTGACACGCTACTGAAATACAAGACGAGATACTCTTGTAACAGGTTCCTACGCGTGTGGAATATGATGATGGCTAGAAAAGTCGATCCAAATGAGCAAATGCGTCAAAAGAACATATTTTCATATATTTATCATGCAGAGAACCAAAATAGGATATTTGATTACTCTATTGGTGATATAAAACAAAAAATAAAATGAATTTTTTTAACTTTATGAACTTTTTATTTTTGACGCATCGCACCTAGACCCACTAGAACAAAAAACTTCCCATATGTATGTCGTCACCATCCTGCACCAAGACATGACTTTGTGCTCCTCGCGCCAAACTGTCACCACTGGGAGTTTCAATCCACTTTCGCCAACAGCGTCTTCGTGGTGCTGTTCAGAATGCCGGCGGCGACGCGGTCGGCTGCGGATCATCGCCGCCCCAGGCGACAATATCGCCGCCGGCTAGCGGGCCACTTGTTGCGTTATCGTGGCCCATCGCAGCCGCGTCTCAGCCCATTTGTGAACAGCGTCCCCTGAGACGAGACGCAGTGGCGGATCGGGCGCATCTGGGAGCGTATCGACCAGCTGGTGCCAACTGATCGAGAAGAGAGAGAGAAAAAAAGAGAGGAGAGAGGGAGAGAGAGGGAGGTTAGGGGAGAGAGGGAGGGAGGGAGGGAAGAGAGAGAGAGAGAGAGAGAGAGAGAGAGAGAGAGAGAGAGAGAGAGAGAGAGAGAGAGAGAGAGAGAGAGAGAGAGAGAGAGAGAGAGAGAGAGAGAGAGAGAGAGAGAGAGAGAGACGGCGAATAATCGTGAGGTTCGGCTGCGATATAAATCCTGTAGACGAAATGCCAGCCCGAACTCTCACACTGGTCGGGCGATCGCTCAGGGAGCGGCTGGCCCGCGGGTGTGGGTGGTGTCTCGATCCAGCTGCAGCAGCTCGCTGTATCACTGTGCTGGCCCGCGGGTGTGGGTGGTGTCTCGATCCAGCTGCAGCAGCTCGCTGTATCACTGTGCTGGCCCGGGGCCGGGTCTGTGGGTGGCGTCTCGGCCCAGCTGCAGCCTCGCTGTATCACTGTGCTGGCCCGCGGGTGTGGGTGGCGTCTCGGCCCAGCTGCGGCCTCGCTGTATCACTGTGCTGAAAGTAGCGACTCGGGCCCCGGCGGCGGTCACAACCGATCGAACAGTGCCGCGGTCGGCGGAGTTCCATTACGGCGCGGCAAATGGGTCGGCGGCGTCGCGGCGATTAAATTAATCAGCGTCCGAGCCGCACTACCGCGCCACACGGCGACCTGCACGCGGCAAACAGCCCCACCTTTATACGGCGCGGTGGACGGTGGTGTACAGTTACACCCGTGTGGTGTCGTGGCACAGAATACACGGAGCTGTACTTACACAGTGCCCCACTGGGCAGTGAGCAGGGGAGAGTGGGGCACATTCGTGCAAAAAATGGATAAACCCATATATCTGTTCTTTGGTTAGTGCAATGGCAAAATTGTTGATTGTAGTATGGAAAGGAACTATTGCAGATAGTTTTCCTCTTTAAAAGTTATCCTCTAAAATTATTCCTTCCATTAGAAAAAATGACTTTTAATAACTCTGAACATTTGCACGAAACTGCCCCACCTATGGGGCACATTCGTTCAAGAGGTGGGGCACTTCCGTTCACCCTGCAAAGTTCGAGAAATTACCGGGCATTACCAGAAATTTACCAAAGGAAATTGGCAGGGGGTCATTTCACTTGATTTCTTTCGACAAGAATGCATTGCACAACATATGTAGAAAGAATGGGCTGGCCAACAAGAATGTGCCAACTGCCGGCCTCCGTGACCTCGCCAAGTTCGCGTGAATTGCTCGTCACGACGTCGCAAGCAGTCGAGACTGAGTCAGGCGAGCGTCATTAGAGAAACCTACTACAGATAAAGTCATAAATCGCAAAAAAAAAAATGCACGAATGTGCCCCCAGGCAGTGCGTACACGAACCTGCCCCACAACGCTATTAGTAATATATTTCAAAATTTCTTTTTGAAAAATGACACTTTTTCAACAAACAAGTTTGCAGCAGTTCCGTGAATAGAGTGAGCTTCTTCACCCCCAATTTTGAAAAGCTGAACCACATTTCCGAGTCAGGATCACGAAAATGGATAATATGAGAAAAGTTTGGAAAGCTCACGAATATTACAAATTTGCGTTTTTACCAAGCATGACAGCAGGTACAGTGTTGTCTTCTACGGTGAACGAAGGGCGGCAATGATAGACATATTTCCATAATTTACCTTGAGCTCGTGCAGTCACTCGTGTTCCCATAAACTGCTGAAAACGAATGTGCCCCATGCACGAATGTGCCCCACTCTCCCCCACTGCCTAGCCGCACTTCAGTACCACAGTGAGCACTACATACTACCTACATAGCCGCACTTAAACGGTACCACACTGAGCGCCACATAGCCTAGTCGTTACACGGCACAGTATAACAGTGCAATATCCAGTACCTATTCACAGTAGCACAAACAGTATAACGCGGACACACTGAAGACTGGAGAGTTCACACTGCACGTTTGCACACTACACACTTGCACAGACATGACCCGTCCCCCACGCGCAGATAGCAGCACAATTCTATTTTCTACCACATATCTAGTATAGGTACCTAAGGGGCATATTATCCAGTACAACAGTATACATATGTTGGCCATTATCCAGATTAGCACTCTCCATATTGACACACAAAATGCACAGTGCAACGCGCATAACAAACATTAAGTCTAAAACATCCAACTTCCATTGCACTCAGCTAATCACACTCTTCAAACCGTACACACTGCTGCATGTGGCCAAAACACTGCTCACAACGCAGGCCCCGCGCTGCACACACCCAAACAACAGGTATGATACATATGTTGCAGGCACTTTAGAAAATCAGTCATTTTGTAAAATGCCTAGGCATTTTGCAAAATGCCTGAATTTCCAGGCTTTTTGCAAAAAGCCTAGGCATTTTACAAAATGACTGACTCTCCAGTCATTTTGCAAAATGCCTAGGCATTTTACAAAATACCTAGCCATTTTACAAAATGACTGAGCAGCGTGTTGTAGATACGAGTACCTAATTATATACGTTTTGGTAGCGTGTAGGTGGACCGAGGAGTCCAGCATTATGACCAGAGGAGTCCAACAGTGGGAAGTCCATACCTACCTCTATTTTGAGAAGTGCAAGCCCGCGACATTTCCAACCCCCACGTCAGCGACGCTGCTGGATTTAAAATGATCGATCTGGAGCGTCAACAAACGACTGGCCCTATGCCGGCCTGTATCTGTAAAACTATTAGAGGTCGCGAGGATTCGATCCCACAAACTTAGGCGTTAGTGTCTTCTGAAACCAACGCTCTCGTCCTACGCCAAGCGACCTGATGATTCTCCCGATGTGGAGCTTGATATTTTTAACTGGGACTATGCAAGTAGGTACTCAAAGCTGTCAAACAAAGACACAATCAAACAAAGACTACACTCATTCGTTTACATGTAATCGTACATCAACCGGGCCTGCCTATTGACTAGGGCCGGTCTCCGGCCGATTTTGTTAGGTCTAGTTTCAGGCAGAACATGAACGGCGTTGATGTACTTGGGAGTTTTTACAGCGTTAACTTAACAATGCTTTATGCTACAGCCGAGTCTTCAACTCAACCTGGTCGTTACTCAGCATTGTCGTCATCACAGAGCTTCAAATCGATCAGCTACAGGCTGAACACGTACCTATAGGGTATAGGAAGACGTCCAAAAACTGTTGGCCATAGTATCTGTAGTGGGATCTACGTTCCATGCTGGTCAGGCATTTTGCAAAATGCCTAGTCATTTTGTAAAATGGCTAGCCATTTTGAAAAAAGCCTGGTTGCGTTCAGTCATTTTTCAAACAGCCGTCTTTTTGTAAAATGCCTAGGCATTTTACAAAATGACTGATTTTCTAAAGTGCCTGCAACACATATACCGTTCTCTGAGGGGGATCGCGTCAGGCGGCGCCAAATGTGCTCCCTGGACGGAGCGCTGGCCCGCCTCCTTCACCGCTAACAGTCACTGCACACAACACTCCCCACACAATCACACGGTACCGGCCAGGCGCCGCCCAGCGGCCGGAAAACATGGTGTCAGGCATACGGAGAAATCGACCAGAAAACACCGGCCCGCTGCTGAGCAACACAACACGCGGGGGGCCAATGTGTACGGAAAGTAGCGGCCGTCGTACTGCACAAAAACCAGTGTCACATAAACTGTCCGAGGCATTGGACTGACACTTGGTTATTTACCACCCCGTCTCGGTTATTTTTGATGACTCCCTGCCAGCTGTATTCCCGAGGGAACAGCGTATAGAGCTGAACTGAAGCTGCCCTGTCGCCTGCCATTTCAGATCGGATGGTGCACGCTGAAATTCGGAAATGAGATACCAAGCCTCTGAAGGAGATGAGTTCAATCTTTTATAAGATTAGTACTTACTTCCTCTAGTTGAAAATCAAGAAAAGTTATTTGTGAGAATCTCTACTTGACCTGGAAAATGAGCAAAAGAAATAACGGAACAAATAATACACGGACAGTACTAATTTGTATTAAATATTCTAGGCCGCTTGTTCATCTCGCTCACGCCTAGACAAAGAAAACATTAAAACTCAATTGCCTCTTTAATTACAACCTTAGAAGTACTGATCGCGTTTAATACGAAACATCCTTTACATGCATCTTGGAGAATAGAGCCTGGAATCTCTGACTATTTCCCGTAAGATGGCCACCGTACATCAACGTAGCTATCTTGATGAGCTTTGTAGTGGAAAATTAGAAGAGCACACACAGTGACACCGCGCCACAAAAGTGTTGGCACAACGATCACGCAACGCTGGCATCCAATGCGATAAGCAAACAGGAAACCGTCTGCCGCGATTGGGGCAGAAAAGCAGCTCAGTTGTACTTACATCGAATGGGAGCTCAGTCGCATTTGGAGTCAGGTGACTGGAATTTCTAGTCACACCCCCGCACCTCAAATGTGACAGACAGCAGCTCATGGCTGCACACTCCAGCTCCACTGAATGGACTGAATTCGAACCTCGGAACCGATTCTGCTGACCTAATGTCTAAATTGCGCTGCTATGGTGGCTTACAGCTAAGCTGCTGACACAGACAGAAGTATCCTCAGAGGCCTTTTGCGGGCGACATTTTATTGATCTGGCTCATTAGTGCCTGACTAACTACATCGCACACGCGGCGCAGTACTGGTGGATAGATTATCCAGAGGTTGTCTAACACGACAGGGGGCTGTGTCAGCATGGATATATGTATATGTAGGCTTTTTCCATCGACCACATGGCTGGGCTGCATCATCACGGAATGATGCTTTATCATATTATTTCAAGAGCTGGTTATCATAGAACCGCAGTGTGACCACAGGGGTCGCGCCAGGACAAATAAGGTACCCATGGAAATCGGCATCATTTTGGATGAACAGGCTTGTCATCAGGGTGACTGGTTCATGACTCTTGAGCAGTTTGACCTTCAACAATATATGTAATAACTTTGGGATCGCTATATACGGTGTTATTTGATGAGGCCAAAACTGTTTGATTAATATTTCTAATAGTTCCTTGGATTGATCAGTAATGAGTTTCACGCAGCACTTATGGGTAAATTCTTTCTTTACGTCACCAAAGTTCAAGTATAGCTGCGTTCTAAGCTATTTGTCTCGCGGTCCTCCTCCTTTGCCATACCGTCACATAACTCATTTCCTCACCTTTCCGAAACTGCCCTTTCCGATAGCTCTCAGGACTTGAAAATGGTCGAAGTTTACTGAAATGAGACAGGCAGTCACTCTGTAAGCACAAAAGTTTGATACTATCACCAAAGCAGATCGAGCAAAAATGTGCGATGCAACGTCAGATATTATAAGAAAATAAACAATACAAGATTGTGCAAAAAACTACCAGGTTTGTCCGAATTAGCAGCAATAAAGAGAGTTTTTGCTCAGAGAAATTACTTTACATTATTTCTTTATGACATATTGGCTGCTTCCGTCTTCTCCAACTAAAACCAGGCTAATTACTGGATGAAATAAAACAAATTCGAAGAATGTGCTTAAACTATTTCACATAACATTATCCCGCGCCCTGGTGGGGGGGGGCTATTTTTTGCCCCCCCCTCCAGACTTTTCGATATATCTCCAGAACCGCTGCGCCGATCGTCACCAAACTTTCAGTACCCTCCCGGACATCAATTTTACACATTGTGACCAAAAATTTATCCAAAGGCTATGATAGGTTGGCCGGAAATGACGTCAGAGTGACGTCATGTTCTGCCGTTTTCGACCCAAAAAAGGGTTTCGCGGGAAGAGCTGTCAGGCCTATAGCTTTGCAAATACAGAAAAACGATAGAAACATAAAAGCTGTAGAATTGACAGGGCTACAAAACTGCTATCTCGGATTTGTGAAATTTTTGGATTTTGACCCCCAAAAATAAAAAAACAGATTTTTTGATTATAATAGCCGAAAAATCCAAAAAGTTTTTTGAATTTCGAAAAAAACGGAATATATGTGATAGTCCTTACCGCCTTCTATCTACATACCAAATTTGAGATCGATACCTCTTTTTTTGGCTAAGTTACAGCGAAAAAACTGTTCAAAATTGATGACGTCAAATTTTCAAACTCAATTGTTTGCAATTCTAGACCTCGTAGCGCAAAACAAAGACCACCATTAGACTCCCCGTGACGAGCTGCATCGAATCAATACCCATTTTATGCAAAAATATCAACTTTGAAATTTGACCTTTTTTGACCTGACCTTGACCTGACCTCCACCAGAAAGTGGCCTAAGCCGTACCTGATAGTCTTATAACCAACACCATTGAGTTGGAAATGAAAAATTGGCCATAAAACATGCATCGCACAACCTTAGTACCTAAAGTTAGGTTCATGTGACCTGACCTGTGACCCTTGGTGACCTGACCTGTGACCTGGGTAATGTCAGTGACCTCTTATAGCAATATATGTACTAGGCAACTGACGCCCTATCGCTGATTCTCGACAAAATGCGTTTTCTTCGGTGTTATAGCGCATTCCCTAGATGACCCGTGAACGGTGAAACATTTCATCTTTGACCTGACCTGTGACGTCATCGGTGACCCCGAGGTCAATGAAATTTGGTTTCCCTCGACAAATTTGACAGGCCTTTCGAACACCGTTTGAATTTTGCGGATCCGTCCAGTAGTTTCGGAGATACGAGGGGGGGCAAAAAATAGCCCCCCCCCCCCCACCAGGTCGCGTTATAAACAGACCCCACCAGGGCGCGGGTATATTCCGGATCTTTGAAAATCTGGAATGTCGATTTTAATATGCCCTTCAGCCGGAAAACTGCATTTTAGAAACGTAAAAGCATAGTAAAAGTAACGAACAAATGATATGCGATGCTTAAGTGTCCAATCAGTGGTTTATTTACCAAAATAACATTATATGTGCTGTATATTTTTGTGCTCTGAGACGACATAACACACGGTTGGCATTTCCAGACATAAGATAACCAAACACTTTCACGTTAGGGTCATACCTATTCTTTGAAGATTATTATAAACTTTCATTTATTCCTTTCTAGCATAAGCTATCCGCTCTATTTCAGTCCCAACAAAGTTATGTCTCAACGTCTGCATAGTGCAGACAATGATATCTCGTAATTAGCAGGCTCTCGTCGCCCGCTGCTCTATTGGTTTAGTGCTCATGCCGAGTTGATATTCACTGCTGGCCACCGAGTGTTCGGAGTACTTACTCTCCTCGTTGACAGCCTGGCCGTCCTCCGAATGGGACTGGCCGGCGCCCATGGCTGGCGGCCGCGCCCAGGTCAGGTCAGGTCAGGTCAACTCTGCAGCACCACTGTAGACTGAGCAGCAGCAGCTGTAAACAGAAATACGGCACTGGATCAGAGATGGCACCCATACGGCTCAGCTCAGCCCGGCTTAGTTCAGCTTATCGCGCCTCCCTTCGGCTCAGCTGGTCTGGTCTTATCCTAGATCAGCTCAGCTTAGGTAGATCGGATCGGGGACGTTATCACCGTGACCCTCTCCTTCTCACCGAAAGGTCAATCGATCAACCGAGGCCGGGACTTCATCCGTCACTGTATGCAAGGTGTGGCTGTCCAATGTCCAGGCCCCAGGGTGTCTGCTATGACTAGGATTATCAATCCAATGTTTTAGTGAGTCTCGCCTCCACTAATTGGCTCACGTAGGTATACAGTACCTTTGAAGACGAGGAAACTAAGACATGCTACAAATACAACCTTTGCATCCAGGTCGAATGATCTTAGATACGATCTAACATCCAGGGCGAGACCACCATCACCCGCTGTGCCTATAAGGTAGGGCAGTATCAGTCTTCACCGCGGGGTGGGGTCGCCAAAATACACACTGTATCCTGGCCCCAGCCTTTACCTTTCCTACATGCCGGGGTATGTCTTAAGCACAGCACGAGCCGGGCAGTAAAACTATGACCAAGAAACTGTCGGTGTCAAAATGCCATGTTGTTTGATAGGCCGGGCAGGAATATATATTACTGACCGGGCCGACGAAATTATTTGGAAACGAGGTTTGCAAAATTGACGGAGGCCCGAGTGCGGAGCACGAGGGCCGGAGTCAAATTTTGCAAGCCGAGTTTCCAAATAATTTCGTACGGCTGAGGTCAGTAAGATTTTTCCTACATGCCGCGTACCTGCTAAGTAGTTTCGACAGGTTTTGGTGACACTTTTATGCAATTGTTTTCCATAATTTCCTAACAGTGATTGCGCTACTGCTGTGGATAAAGCTTCAAAGGAAATTTATAGAAGAAAATGTATCAAAATACCTTACTTCAAAAAGAATCGCGTCTGAAAATATCAACTCAGAATGGCACAACTGGATATCCAAGGAACATAATACATTAATAATTTGCCAGGACATAAGAACAAGAAGAAGGAATAATATTCCTAGTGATTAAACGTGAATTTTCCAGTGCTCTTGCAAGAATTTTTTCTTTATTTATGTAATCGTACTTTGTTGATTCCCTATGGCTAAACTTTCGTGAAATACATTATGTTTTCCATATTTTACATGTTTGTTTCGAGGAAAGGACTACAAATGTCAAATAATAACACAATAGCTTAGGCCCAAGGTATCAGTGGACATATCAAACGAAGATAAGACGACAAGCGATCAGTTCACCAGCGACCTCTGGCGCGGACGGTCCGGTCGGCCGCGCTCCGCTGCGGCGTGTCTCGGCCGGCGGCGGACGGAGTGACCGGGAGGCGGCCGGAGCCAGCTGGGACTGTTAATGGTCATTGCAGTGCTTTAGCATGACCTGGTGACTGTTTTCGTGAGCACGGCTGTGTGGCTTCATTAGTGAGTGCCAGTACAGACTTACCTGAGCAAAGGGAAGTCATGCCGCGACCGGAGGAACGGGACGGTGTTCATGAGGAGCAGGACTCGGACCCGCAGCGATCAATGAGCCGCGGATCATCGGTGAGTGAGCTTGTACGGACTTATGACGACGGCGCCGGTAAACGAGACCGTTCTGAGTCGGGAGATGCCCCGGTTCCGAAGGGGAAGAGAGGAGCGTTGGATCGTGGCGGTGAGCCGAGTCGTAGTCCGGCGCAGCGGTCTCAGGTATCGCTTAAGGAGCATTTCGACGACGCTCTGGAAAGACTCGAAAACCGTTTGACTGTTTTTGTGTCCAGTGAGTTGCATGAATTTAGAACGACTTTTCAGGCGCAGTTGGACGCTTTTGGTGTAAGGTTGGGAGAACTGGAGAGCCACATCGAAACTAGGGATGAGGTAATAGAAGATCTCCGTGGCCAGCTACGGGATTCCAGGGATGAGATCAGCAGGTTACAAGCAAGAACAGAAGAGGCCGAGATGATCTCCCGGCTTCCCTGCCTGGTGCTGTCGGGCGGAGCCATGGCGGCCCGCAGTGCGCCTCCCCCTCCTCCCCGGCCGAGCGCCTCCGCCGGCGGTGGTCCGGCGGACCAGCCGGTCGGCGCCCCGGGCGAGCGGAGTCCCGGGTCGGCCGCCGCGGCACGGGCGGATTCAGCGGCACGGGCCGGGGAGGCGCCTCCTCGGCGGGCGGGACGCGACGCCGGATCGTATGAACGGGAAGACGTCTGCGCTCTCGTGGTGGACGTGCTGAATCGCAGCTTCGGTGGACTGAATGTGTCCGAGGGTGATATAGACAGAGCTCACCGACTGCAAGGGGCGAACAATCGCGTAATAGTGCGTTTTGTCCGTTCGGGCAGAGGGAGTGTTCGCGACCAGGTAATGTGGCGCCGGCTAGAGTTGGCCGGTAAGAATCTGTATGTGAACGAGAGTCTGACTCCTCTTCGCAACAAGATTTATCGCAGTCTGCTAGACGCGAAAAAGGAGAAGAGGATACATACAGTGTTCTCGCGCGGCGGCCATGTTTTCTTTAAGCGGGAGAAGTTCGCAGTGAGTGAGAGGGTCGAGTCTCTGGACAAGGTGCGTCAGCTCGGCTTCTCAGTGCAGGACGACCCGCCACCGCGGAGCGAGTCACGTGACGCTTGGCGCCCTGCACGTGATCGGCGAGGGGCGTCGACCCGCTGAGAACTGATGTAGCGGTAAGCGGCAGCCGGGGCTGGTGGACTTATTTGGCGCGCTGCCAAGACCGTCGATCTGTTGAGTTTTCGAGTGTTTTGCTTTCTTGAAGTGTAGTATCATGATCTAAGCTACTCTGTGGCATGGGAGGCAGAACTTCCTGACCCCCGGACCCCCCCCCCCCCCCACCTCATGTCCTCCCCGCCCCTTCCCGCCGGCCCCACACGCGTAACATTGTTTGCCGTTTGAAGGGAGATTCATTCTAGTGAGTTGAATGTTTTTCCTTTTATTGGCCAGATATCCCGTTAGACTTTGTGTGTTGCGTTGTGTATATCCATCTGGGGATATTGTGTGAGGGGAATGGTGGGGTATGTGTGTGTGTGTGGGGGGGGGGGGGCTGCTAAACGGAGCGGCGGACATTTAAAGTATTCGTGTGGTAAGAAGATGTGTTTAGTTGGTATGAGGCCATTTTATTGCTGGCAGGAACTGGCTTTTTCTGGTGGCTTTCTTTTCTGAGCTCGTGAAATGACTCTGAAGCCGAAGCCAGCAGTCGTGCTCATGAGTTGGGATGTTATGATTATGTTGAGGTTTTTGGAACATTATTACTGCTCACGTGAGTTAAGATATAGAGACATTGTGCATGTATTGAGAATATTGATCTCGTACATTTTAAGATTCGAGGGTCGTTTAGCTTGCGATGAGTAAGATCAACAGAAGGTGCATTAGTATTGGGAGCTTGAACGTCCGGGGCATTCGGCAAACAGAAAAGAGACGGGACGTAGTTGACTTTTTAAGAAAAAGTAACTATTCGGTAACGTGCTTAATTGATACTCATGTCACAGAAGATTTAATAGATGTTGTGCGTTCCGAATGGGGTAGCGAACTAGTAGCCAGTTACGGAACAAACAACTCTAGAGGCATCATAATATTAATAAATCGCAATGCTGGGGTAAATGTTTGCAGTACTCTAGTAGACCCAGGGGGAAACTACGTGATAATAAGTGCTGACTGTGAAAATTTTGGAAAAATTAACTTGATAGCGCTGTATGGTCCTAATGAAGATAATCCCAATTTTTATAGGGAACTTTTCATAAAAATCGAATGTTTGCCAGAGGATCCCTCCGTCTTTGTTGGCGATTGGAACATGGCATTAGATCCGGCAAACGACACTAAACATTACAGGCGAGTGGGAAATCCAACTGCTAGGAAAGTGGTACTAGATTTCATTGAATCTGAACAAATGTGTGACGTATGGCGCCAGCTGCACCCTACGACGAGGAGGTACACATGGCGTAAGCCAACACCGCTGAGACTAGCTAGGTTAGACTTTTTCTTGGTTTCCCCGGAACTGATGAGCATGGTGGGAACCGCGGATATCGAAGTTGGATACAGAACTGATCATAATTTGGTCTCACTAACACTTTTGTCCCGCGCAGCTAGGCAGAGAGGAGGTTTTTGGAAGTTCAACAATTCTCTATTGGATGACAGCGATTTTGTGGAAATGATTCGCAAAAGTATAAGAGAATTCAAGCGTCAGTATTTGCTGCCAATATATAACCCCGTCACAATGGATAGCGACGAAGACGCAGTCCTTATTGTGAATGATCAATTATTTTTTGAAACTTTGTTGTGCCATTTAAGAGGATTGAGTATTCAGTATAGTGCGAGAAAGAAACGGTTATCAACGGAAAGAGAAAATAAATTAATTAGTGAAATTGTAACACTGGAACATAGAGTACAGAACGAGGGGGACAATGTTAGTTTGAACGAGCTTTATAATGCCTCTGCTGAGTTACAAGAACTTCGTAAGAGCAGGATGAAAGGCGTTCTGCTAAGAGCGAAGGCGCGATGGATCGAGTATGGGGAAACTCCATCTCGTTACTTCTGCAGCCTAGAAAAGCGGCAGTACACGCAAAAATATATATCTTGTTTAGAGGTAGGTGGGACTTTGATTTCAGATCAGGAGGAGATAATGACGGCTCTAGTCAGACACTTCTCGGAAATTTACAAACGTAAAGTGAGGCCAAAAAAATTACAAGATATAGAACATTTGTTGGGAAATAATACGATTCGATTGAGTCACGAAGAGAAGAATAGCATTGAGGGAAAAATATCCATCTCGGAGGCATCGCAGGCGGTGAAAAGTTTACATAATGATAAATCCCCTGGCCCTGATGGGTTTACTGCGAATTTCTTTAAGACCTTTTGGCCGGAAATTGGGTACCTGGTTGTGAGATCCTTTAATTATGCGTTTGAAAACGGCCATTTATCGGTCACTCAAAGGCAAGGACTATTAACTCTCATTCCTAAACCAGGCAAACCAAAGACATGTATGGACAGTTGGAGGCCAATTTCATTACTGAACACGTCTCAGAAGATATTGTCGACAGTTATTGCTGGCAGGTTAAAAAAAGTCATGGGAAGATTAATTAACATGGCTCAGAAGGGTTTCATGAAAAATAGATATATTGGAGACTGTATCAGATCTGTGTATGATATTCTGTGGGAAACAAAGAGAAAGGAAAACAACAAAAACGTTCTCTTTTTATTTGCTGATTATCGAAAGGCTTTTGATTCCCTGAGCCACGAATTTATCATGGAGACTTTGCAGTTCTTTAATTTTGGGGCGGATATGCAGCGGTGGATTGCCACAATGCTCCGGGATGCTTCATCGTGCATATCACAGAATCAGATATCTACCGGCTTCTTTGAAATTGAGAGGGGCTGCAGACAAGGGGACTGCTGCTCGCCCTTGTTATTCATTCTCTGTGCAGAGATTTTGGGTATATTGGTGCGAAATAATCGTCTCATAAAAGGATATATCTTTAATCATCAAGAGATTAAACTGGAACAGTATGCTGATGACAGCACATTCATACTTGATGGGAGCCAGAGTAGTTTCAGGGCTTGCTTGAAAACAATTGCTGAATTTGGAGCGGTTTCAGGGCTGTCCCTAAATCCACAGAAGTCGGAGCTTTTGTATTCAGGTCCGGGTGAGCCGCCATCCTTTATCACACAGTCAGAGTTCTCATGTGTGCAGGACAGTTTTCGTTACTTGGGAATCATTTTCACCAAGGACATGCATGAAATGGTAGCAGTCAACTTTAAAAGAAAAGTCGAGTCAATAACAAACATGCTCAAGGGCTGGCTCCGACGGCGATTAACTTTATACGGGAAGCGGACGGTTTTAAAGTCACTTGCTTTGTCCAAGCTGACGTACGTCTTGACGGTACTGCCTAATCCTCCAACTGCGATGACTGATGCATTGCAGAAGCAGTTTTTCCGATTTTTGTGGGACAACAAGCCAGACAAAATACGTCGGTCCCATTTGATAACGCATTATGGCATACCCTGCGTGGGAACGTATGGTAAAGCTATGTAACTTGCTTGGGTGCGACGCTTTTTGACCGTAGAAAATATTGTGGGACCGCAAGTGGAATTGGATAGGCTACTAAGTAGCGGTGACCGTTATATGAACAAGTTTGGCTCGAATATGAATCCTTTTTGGAGTGATGTATTTTCTGCATATGATGAATTCAAGCACGAGCTCGTAGTTGAAGCAAGCGATGTTTGGCAGATTCCCATCTTTTTATCTTCCAAAATAGTGATAGGACGGAAGCCCTTTTGGAAACGTAAACTTTTCGACGCTGGATGTAGGTCAATAAATGATATTTACAATTCTCAAGGAGAACTTATGTCTTTTGAAGAATTTAGGAGAACTTATCCTGGGTGTTTGAACGCTTTGACTTTTGAGACATTGCGATGCTTGGTACAGAGAATTTCCATACCAAGTGAATTCGGAGGCAAAAAGCCAATAGGACCGTTCATCCACCCGGCTCTACTGCAAATATTGAACGCCGATTGCAGACAATATTATGATGCCTTACTGAATGTGAGATATAAGAAAACAGATTCTCCATTACCTAGTCAAATTAAATGGAACTCTATTTTGAGTTCTAACATATTTTGGGGGCATATATATTATCGATACAAAAGGTGTTCAAAGAATACAACTTTGATATGGTTTCAGGACAGAATTGTTCACCGAATTTTGACAACAAATACCTTTGCATCGAAATTCATGGACGTCAGCGACTTATGCACCTTTTGTGGTAGGGAAAGAGAGACGATACAACACCTAATGGTAGCTTGCGAAGAAGTGGGTGCGATGTGGCAATCGGTGAAAGATATGATACGTGACCGATTGAAGATTACGCTGGAATTGAACCCTCAGGAAATCATATTGGGATTTGATCCAGCTTTGTACGAATGCCCTAGGGAAACCGCAACAGCGATCCAGCGACTCATTTTGATAGGAAAATGGTACATATATAGTTGTAAGGTTAGAAAAGAAAAGCCAAGGTTTGTGAACTTGTTACAAAAAATGAAAATTCTGACACAAGCTGAATTTATGTACGACCATGACAAGAATGAAAGGGAAATTAGAGTACGAGCATAGATAACATGAACTACCTGGATTGGACACTCGTTTTTGGCGCCAAAAATAAGAGGCCACTTTGGCCTCTTATTTTTAAAGGCGGCCTGTAACACTTTTGAGAGGCTGATATCTCAGCAACCACTGGGCCGATTAGCCTGCGGTCTTTTTTGTTCGGTAGCCCCATCCCTTCTGCCCCATAATTGACTTCTCATGATGCGTCTAGGTGACTGCCGTAGCACGTGCCACGTGAAAAGTCAGGGGTGTTCACTGTTCAGGGTATTTTGCATAAGTAGCGCTTTTGCGAGGCTTATATCTCAGCAACCACTTGACCGATGTACATGCGGTAATTTTTGTAGGGTAGCTTCATTCATTTTACCAAGTATTGGACTATTCCCGATGCATGTGGGTGACCCCTTATGCACGTGCCACGTGCAATACGAAGAAGTGTCAGTTTTGTAACAATTGCAATATCTCGGTAACCACTCGGCCGATTGCGCTGAAACTTGGCATACAAATACGCACCCACCGGGCAATGTATATCCATGTGCCAGAGATGGGGTGCTGCTGCACGTGCGCACGTGCAGGGCAGGGGTCGTTTCCAGATCTCGAGAACGGCTGGACCGATGGCGCTCAAATTTGGTACACGGTTAGGGACCAGTTAGAAGGGTGCCGTGCACAAGGCAGTTGGGACCCATATTGCACGTGCGCACGTGCAGGGTGCCGCTTCCAGATCTCGAGAACGGCTGGACCGATGGTGCTCAAATTTGGTACACGGTTAGGGACCAGTTAGAAGGGTGCCGTGCACAAGGCAGTTGGGACCCATATTGCACGTGCGCACGTGCAGGGTGCCGCTTCCAGATCTCGAGAACGGCTGGACCGATTGCACTCATATTTGGCACATCGCTATAGACCGGCTAGTAGGGTGCCGTGCACCGAGAAAGTTGTGGCTCTGCGCGTGCTCACGCGCGCACGTGCACACCCTTCCGTCATATCTCGGGAACGGACTGACCGATTGCAATGAAATTTGGTGTGTGGCTGTTTGTTGCTTTTGTTGTGTGACCATGATGCTGACCGTGTATGAATTTTTCTCAGTCGACGAAGGTAAAGTAATGCACGTGCGCACATGCACACCTTATTTATATTTCTTCGAAAATCACCAAATATAACTGGCTTCCACATACATGTTTTGAAAAGCACATTTCATCGCGGTATGAGCACGGTGCACAACACATGAATAAAAGTCGTTTTGGCCTGCTTGACCAAAACAGGCAAGAGTTTTTTAGATGACCACCCCAAACCCGAGGAAAAGTAAGAATGCCCATCCAACCGAGGAGAGTCCCACGATGCCAACCTCTTCGCCAGCGTCTTGTACAAACCAAGCCTATGTATAAAAAAACAACGGCATAAGAGCACTCAACACAATTGTGGGTCACCACACTCCTCAGTCCTCACGCTCACGCACGTGGGACTACGGTACGCCCGGTCGGCCAGACTGGGACGGCGCCGTATGACAGTTTCCACAGTCCATGGGAGTCCGTAGGCTATCTCCAGAGGTTAGCCCGGATAGGTAAAGGGCGAGGCACGAAGGCACTACCACAGTTCAGTTGAGTTCTCGACAACATGTGCGAGATCGCACACGCCTCTTCGTGTGTGTGCTAGTACCTCTAGGCTCTAGCTCTTCTTGATGCCGGATAGCTTACGCCTCTTATCGTCTGTTGTTTTCTTCGCTGCACAGTTTCCACGTTTGGCATGGATCGCGCTGTTGATGTCCCTCACCATGTTGCCTGCAAACAGGCTAAACAAGGCCCTTGACATACGTTCCAAGCTTTGGGCGAATCCATGCCCCTTGGGGCAGCTGGTATCTCTGACGATGGAGCTTCGTGTCGTGACTGCTTTTACCACGTCGACAAATGCCTCTCTGGGACTAAAGCATTCAAAAAGAAGTCTTTTTGAGGCCTCTTTTCGCACGAGTTCTTTCCAGATTCTAAGGATAAGCATCGTGGTTTCTATGGCGAGCGAGGACGGCACAATGAGTCGCCCTCGATCCAATATCTTCGTGAATATTTACTGTCATACTGTTTACTGTTTACTGTCATATTTACACTGCTCGCCGACAGACTTATCTGCTTACATTATAGAATGTAACTAATGGCATATAAAGAAACAATATCATTCATCGTACTGTCATGAAATAATAAAAAGCAGCCTCTTGCCTTTCGTGACTTTCAAAACGACTCTCAAAAATGCTTTAACAGCTGTTGAATGTCACGTGCACTTCAGTTTAAACATTCTTTCGTTTCTTGCCTAATTTGACAGCAAATAGCAAAATTGCAAATAAATTTACAAAATAGAAACGCATGTTTTGTGTAAAGGCCTGGCTACACTATGCGTTTTCTGCGTGCGTTTTTGCTGGTTGGCATGTAACCCCTCTGTGTGCCGCTGAGGTCATCTCAGGTCATGAACGGTCGCCAGCAGTTTTTTGGCTATAACTTTTAATAGAGGCGTGCTAGAGCGGTGAAAACATGTCATAAGTGTTCAGCTCGACGATACGGATCGACTGATATGCAACATGACCCTTTCCGGTCAGGTCATGACCTTGACCTGGGGTCAAATTTTCAAAATAACCTTTCAAGGTCAACAAATAGTTGATTCGACGCGTCTCGACGAGAGGAATACGATGCTGCCAAAATAAAGTGGCTGTCTTGAGGGCCACTTTAAAAGAAATGTGGGCCTTGAGTTATTCCCGAAAAACATTTTTTCGTGAAAACGGCTATTTTGACAGTTTTTGCCCCCTGGAGGCTAGCCGTTGATCTGATGTCAAATCTGAGAGCAATATTTAGAAAGGCCTTGAAAAGGTCTGTCGAATGCGCTTTTCCGCGGCATTGTAGGTTTATTGGTTTCCGAGTTAGCCGTTGAAAGTTTCCAAAATTAATTACTGAAATGGACTTAATTTGACTTTTGATGACTCGAGTGACCTGACTTTTGACCTGACCTAAAAATGACTGAAGTGTTTCCGTCATTATTTTTAACGCTCTTTCGAATATCCCTTACCGCGTGTCGCTACGTGGCCCAGGAATCGAGTTAGACGGGGGAGCGTGAAAACGCCCCCCCCCCCCCCAGCCAAGTTCCAAGTTCAGGCCACCAGCGGGTTAACAATTGTGTAAGCAAATGTGTGTTTTTTTTTTAATGAGCACGAATATTAGTCTGAGGCACCCATGCGTAGGTGGTTGTGCGTATAGGATACAAATCTTATGAGTGTGCACATTTATGCCTCTCCCACAACGCATACACTAAAGTACCTATATTATTACCAGACCGCTTCACTCTTAAGCATAAGGTGGGATGTGAATATGCGCAAGTGTAAAGTAGGCATGTACCTGACCTGACCGTAATCTCTAGCCTGAGCGAGCTGAGTTATCGATTATAGCCCGAATCTGATCACTTCGGTGAAGATGAGCTATGGCTAGTTTGAGCATTATTATGAATATTATGGTGTTAAAAATGACCTTATGTTCACGATACAATAAGAATCTGATCATCATCAGCCTGCCAGTTTTTCAGCTGTAAAAAATGGGCTGTGCACCTCCATACGTGCATGCTCACAGCCATTCTGATGCGTACAATCAGTACACCTTGCTATTCCCTGATGGCACGCCAAGTTTGATCCAAATCGGCTTGCCAGTTTTGTTAACTTTAAAATGGGGTGTGAACGTGCACACGTGCATATTCCCACCCATAGTTTGATGCACAACATCAATGCACTTTGTTATCCCCTAATCGTAAGCCAACTTCGATCAATATCGGGCCTGCTCGTTATTAAGCCGTTATTATGAGGTGTGCACGTGGCACGTGCATATTCACACCCTTCTGAGGCACACAGTCACGACACTTTGTTATCCTTCAATCGCACACCAGCTTTTATTGAAGGCGGCGTGTCCCATTTTTAGCTGGAACTATGGGATGTGCACGTGCGCACGTGCATTACCTCACCTTCGTCGACTGAGAAAAACTCATACACGGTCAGCATCCAGCCACACACCAAATTTCATTACAATCGGTCAGTCCGTTCCCGAGATATGACGGAGGGGTGTGCACGTGCGCGTGAGCACGCGCAGAGCCACAACTTTCTCGGTGCACGGCACCCTACTAACCGGTCTATAGCGATGTGCCAAATATGACTGCAATCGGTCCAGTCGTTCTTGAGATGTGAAAGCGGCACCTTGCACGTGCGCACGTGCAATATGGGTCACAACTGCCTTGTGCACGGCACCCTTCTAACTGGTCCCTAACCGTGTACCAAATTTGAGCGCCATCGGTCCAGCCGTTGTCGAGATCTGGAAGCGGCACCCTGCACGTGCGCACGTGCAATATGGGTCCCAACTGCCTTGTGCACGGCACACTTCGGTCCCTAACCGTGTACCAAATTTGAGCGCCATCGGTCCAGCCGTTCTCGAGATCTGGAAGCGGCACCCTGCACGTGCGCACGTGCAATATGGGTCCCAACTGCCTTGTGCACGGCACCCTTCTAACTGGTCCCTAACCGTGTACCAAATTTGAGCGCCATCGGTCCAGCCGTTCTCGAGATCTGGCAGCGGCACCCTGCACGTGCGCACGTGCAATATGGGTCCCAACTGCCTTGTGCACGGCACCCTTCTAACTGGTCCCTAACCGTGTACCAAATTTGAGCGCCATCGGTCCAGCTGTTCTCGAGATCTGGCAGCGGCACCCTGCACGTGCGCACGTGCAATATGGGTCCCAACTGACTTGTGCACGGCACCCTTCTAACTGGTCCCTAACCGTGTACCAAATTTGAACGCCATCGGTCCAGCCGTTCTCGAGATCTGGAAACGACCCCTGCCCTGCACGTGCGCACGTGCGGCAGCACCCCATCTCTGGCACATGGATATACATTGCCCGGTGGGTGCGTATTTGTATGCCAAGTTTCAGCGCAATCGGCCGAGTAGTTACCGAGATATTGCAATTGTTACAAAACTGACACTTCTTCGTATTGCACGTGGCACGTGCATAAGGGGTCACCCACATGCATCGGGAATAGTCCAATACTTGGTAAAATGAATGAAGCTACCCTACAAAAATTACCGCATGTACATCGGTCAAGTGGTTGCTGAGATATAAGCCTCGCAAAAGCGCTACTTATGCAAAATACCCTGAACAGTGAACACCCCTGACTTTTCACGTGGCACGTGCTACGGCAGTCACCTAGACGCATCATGAGAAGTCAATTATGGGGCAGAAGGGATGGGGCTACCGAACAAAAAAGACCGCAGGCTAATCGGCCCAGTGGTTGCTGAGATATCAGCCTCTCAAAAGTGTTACAGGCCGCCTTTAAAAATAAGAGGCCAAAGTGGCCTCTTATTTTTGGCGCCAAAAACGAGTGTCCAATCCAGGTAGTTCATGTTATCTATGGTACGAGATATTAATATGGTACTGTGCTGTAACCAAACATGCTAATGTAGTGAGCATCATCTATGTGCGTTGGAAAATGTGGTAATGTGTTGTAAAGAAAATGTGTAATAAAAAGTGATGGAAAAAAAAAGACGACAAGCGATAACGGATTTCGATTAATAGGCGCATATCTTACCATAATTTCGGCTTTGTAACCAATACAACATATTTCAAAACCCTTGATAAGCAGAGCAGATATTTTTTCCCCAAAAAATGTTAGTTTTCTAATTTTACGAGGCAAATATCATGCAATAATGATGTCAATTATACATTCCCTGTCAATTATACCTCTTGGCTAATGCGATAACCTGTAGTTTAGAGGTCATTGCCCTGGGCAGTAAACCCGGGCAGTAAACTTTTGTTTCCTGCCCGGCCTATCAAATAACATGGCATTTTGACACCGACAGTTTCTTGGTCATAGTTTTACTGCCCGGCTCGTGCTGTGCTTAAGACATACCCCGGCATGTAGGAAACAAAAGTTTACTGCCCGAGTTTACTGCCCAGGGCAATGACCTCTAAACTACAGTTTATCGCATTAGTCCAGAGGTATAATTGACAGGGAATGTATAATTGACATCATTATTGCATGATACGAGTATTTGCCGCGTAAAATTAGAAAACTAACATTTTTTGGTAAATATCTGTTCTGCTTATCAAGGGTTTTGAAGTATTTTGTATTGGTTACAAAGCCGAAATTATGGTAAGATATGCGCCTATTAATCGAAATCCGTTATCGCTTGTTGTCTTATCTTCGTTTGATATGTCCACTGAAACCTTGGGCCTAAGTTAATGCGTTTTTATTTGGCAGTTGTAGTCCTTTCCTCGAAACAAACATGTAAAATATGGAAAATAATAATGTATTTAACGAACGTTTAGCCATAGGGCATATCAACAAAGTACGATTACATAAATGAAGCAAAGATTCTTGCAAGAGCACTGGGAAAATTCACGTTTAATCACTAGGAATATTATACCTTCTTCTTGTTCTTATGTCGTGGCAAATCATTCAAGCATTATGTTCCTTGGATATCCAATTGTTGTGCCATTCTGAGTTGATATTTTCAGACGTGATTCTCTTTGAAGTAAGGTATTTTGATGCATTTTCTTCTATAAATTTCCTTTAAGGCTTTATCCACAGCTGACAGCAGTAGCGCAATCACTGTTAGGAAAATATGGACAAACCAATAATTGTATAAAAGTGTCACCAAAACCTGTCGAAACTAACCTAGCAGGTATGCGGCATGTAGGAAAAATCTTACTGACCTCAGCCGTACGAAATTATTTGGAAACTCGGCTTGCAAAATTTGACTCCGGCCCTCGTGCTTCGCACTCGGGCCTACGTCAATTTTGCAAACCTCGTTTCCAAATAATTTCGTCGGCCCGGTCAGTAATATATATTCCAGCAGTGTTGCTGCTGCGCTGTTAGACCGACTCGCCTCTATTTCGGGAGGTTCGGCAGAGATAAACACGAGCCCCACCGAGCCTACCGACCGCGACCGACCGAACCCAGTGTTTGGAACGGACGGCCAGAGGGAGCAGCGAGGCTGCACTGCTCTCGGTGTACGAATGGAACGTCGTTCGATGTTTAACTAAGCGGACCTGTCCTTGAATTAGCTAAATTAGCAAACAGCAGCTGCTAAACTCACGAAAAAGCGTGCCTTTTTACATGTGCGGCTAGGAAATGAAACGGAACACATAAGAGACGAATATATGACGCATATAGTCAATATCCTATTATCCTAGTCGCATTTATGTAAATAAGTGCAGCAAAATATAAAGTATCTTTGATCAAGTGCACACAATATACACAATGTACGTGTGATTGGACACTGGAAAGCTCATAGCATATGCGCGGGATCTTTCATCCTTTGTTGCAGGCGGATGACTGATGGGTAGAGGGACAACGCGCATTGCTTGAGACAACAATGTCTACATATAAAATGGTATTAATATCTTATTCATTATTGATGCACTTCTTCGTTTAACGAGTCGAAAAGGGACGATTTAATTTAGAATACATAGACGTTTGTAGTTTGTACTATTTCAATAAAGATGAGGCAAAATAAGACATAAATAAGATATAAGTGGCAAAGGTGGGTAGAATTGAGAGACATGTGATTTTCTTTAATTGTTTATGTATATACCATGCTTATAAATTAGATGCGTAATCTGTTTTGTACTTCCTGTCACATCACGGAGGTATCTACCATTGATGAGTTTGCGACATGACCCTTGATGTACCATTAATGGGAGCATTAAAGGCATATTGTGACTACACTCAATTGGAAAAAGTAAGTTTATATTTGAAAGGATCCAAGCTAAATCAAAATGAGCTTTTCATTTCATATTTAGGATATCACATTTTCTGACTTCTGAGTACCTATAGGTCAAACAGAACAGGACCATCGGGTGGGCTAAATATCGTGTGAATACGCATTAAGCCATCCATCAGAGCAGCTCGCTGGATTACAGCATCGTACATCCCTCTTGAATAGCCAGTAACAAGCGTTTGTCATGCGTGTCTACTTGATTATGGATCACAAAAGCACTATTGCTATTTGCTAATGAAAATGCAAGTGCTCACACATGTGCACTTTATTTGCCGGCTTAATTTCGTTCGCTTATATTCACAGCTAAATGGTGTATGAGCCCGTAAAGTACATACTTCATGCACGGCATGTGCCCTCACGGGGCGCCGAAAATGCCAGCCAACTTCCCAGAACTATAAGCTCATAAGCCGCCGCGGCACCAGTGCCGAGAATAGCGTAGTGAGGCGCCCCTGAGGGCTTTGGCACCTGCGTCATAGCGAAGATTAAGAACACTGTCTATTACCCTCCTCGGCGACTGACTCAAAGGCCTCACTGAAACTTGCGGAGCTTGACAATAGAAATGCAAGAAGATAAAAATCACTCCAGACTAACAATTACTTTCCGGGAATCAACAACAAAGCCATAAGAAGAAAGGGAATGTATGTTTTTTTTGACAGCTCGAGTTCAGACAAAGCAGACCAAAAATCCACCGCTAAAGTACAAGCACATGGTCATTAATTTCCCCGTGTGAGTCCAAAACGCATTTATGAGGACTCGTTGCTGTACAAAGACATTTTACGTTCATTTTTCACATAGGTTGCATCAAAGAAGACAAGAAAAGCTGCCTCAGACGACTATCTGGAAAATTAATAAAAATATAAGATTGAAAACACCCAGTTAGCATTCTCACCTGAACAGTATCCCAGCTGGGACTGTCACCGGGCGAGGTCAGAGGTCAGCCCTGGCCGGGTCAGGGGTCAGCCCTGGCCGGGTCAGGGGTCAGCGCCGCTCCGCGACTCGCCGATCAGGGGACGACCCCACCTGTTGTTGGACCGCGCGGCACACCGTCCCCGACACGCCCTCACAGACCACCGACCGAGCACCGACTGACGGCGCCGACACCGACACCGACCGACGGAGCGAGCCCCGACGGGCGGGTCACATCGACGGAGCGGGCCCCGACGGACGGGTCACATCGACAGAGCGGGCCCCGACGGCCGGTCAGACCGGGGAGTGACGCGGGAGACCAGACCAAACGCAACGCAACTGAGCAAGGCCTCAGAGACCAGACCAAACGCAACGCACCGCAGCGAGGCCTCAGAGACCAGACCAAACGCAACGCAACAGAGCAGGGCCTCAGAGACCAGACCAAACGCAACGCAACAGAGCAGGGCCTCAGAGACCAGACCAAACGCAACGCAACAGAGCAAGGCCTCAGGACCGGCCAAATGCAACGCCCACAACAAGGCTGACAGTAACCGCAGGAGACCAAACCCGACTCGGGTCAAGTATAGACAGACTAGAGAATTAGACGGCACAACAGAGCAGAGAGATCAAACTAGCACACCCAGAGCAGACCCAGACCCAAAAATATCCATGGATCTAATAAGTAAACCAGGTCGGTTTTCGAAGGCATCACGGCTGACGCAAACGCCAAACAATTTGAGAGATCCGCTTAAGTCATTTGTAATTCTGTCTAAGTTCCTTTTTGAAGTCATTATTAACTGCAGTCTTATTTTTAAAAATTATAGGATCGCATTCCTGTCTGCAGAGTCCGAATAGGCAACCCATCCGTCTTAGGAGCAAAAACGTAAAAATCAGACCAAATCATGCCGATCAACACCGATAGGCGTTATCACAAGTGTATTCGCGGCCATTGGGGCGACGTAAGAAAAGAGAAAACAACTGGCCCCAAGAACT